AAATCTTTTTTTTTAAAAAAAATTATAATAATAATAATCGAAATAAACAGTATTGAACTTGCTTTTTCATAATCTACTAAAATATACAAAAACCTATTAATTTGTTCAAAGTAAGTTTTTACATAAATTTAAATACCAGGAGTTTAAATTTTAAGTTTTTTTTTTTTCTCTTTGAACTTTAGTGGTAAAAACATTGAGATAAATTGCAATTGCTGCACTGAAAAATATTCAGAGAATCATTTGAGATAAATATGTTAAATGCAATAGGGAATAAAGTGAAGATAGAGGTTGGAATCGTCCAAAAAATCCTTAGTTGACTACTAGTTGGTCAAATTTCTTTTAGTTGACTAAATTTTTTTAATACTAGTGTGTAACCATTTGCTTCACAAAATGGTCACACACTAGTCACAGGAATAACATCCTATTTAATTAGAATATTCATTCTGTTTCATTATTATTAACATTTTTTTTTAATTTGCAGATTACAAATTCATCTCCATTTGAATCTTTAATTTTCTTGAAATACTTCCATACGAAGCTATATGTTATAATTTGTTTTTTTAAAGGTCTGGAACCACTGCTTGAGCTCGAAGCCAACGAATTGTTGGAATGATTTGACCTTGTATCAATGTTTATTATTTCGCATGGATAATTATCGCCAACACCAGCACCAACACCACCATTATCATCTTCTTCATAATATTGATACTCCGCATATTTATTACAATATAATATTTATTCAAATTATTCATTTTATTTATTCATTTTATCAAATTGTTTGAATTATTTATTGTTTTATTCAAATTATTCATTTTATTTACAAAGATTAATAAATGATCTACAAAAAATTAGCCAATCATACAAACTTCTGCCCTTCAAAAATATGTTACACATATTTTTGATATTTACATTAAATTTTTCAAAGTCTTGTGCTGAGTAAACATGATCTGATTTTCTCACCAGCATTAATTCTTATAATACAGTCAGGATTATTGCCAAAATTGGAACTCCTTTGTCAATCAATTCATATGTATGGCAAACAAGTTAACATGATACTTGCTGCCTTTTGAAAATCTTTTTTTTTAAAAAAAATTATAATAATAATAATCGAAATAAACAGTATTGAACTTGCTTTTTCATAATCTACTAAAATATACAAAAACCTATTAATTTGTTCAAAGTAAGTTTTTACATAAATTTAAATACCAGGAGTTTAAATTTTAAGTTTTTTTTTTTTCTCTTTGAACTTTAGTGGTAAAAACATTGAGATAAATTGCAATTGCTGCACTGAAAAATATTCAGAGAATCATTTGAGATAAATATGTTAAATGCAATAGGGAATAAAGTGAAGATAGAGGTTGGAATCGTCCAAAAAATCCTTAGTTGACTACTAGTTGGTCAAATTTCTTTTAGTTGACTAAATTTTTTTAATACTAGTGTGTAACCATTTGCTTCACAAAATGGTCACACACTAGTCACAGGAATAACATCCTATTTAATTAGAATATTCATTCTGTTTCATTATTATTAACATTTTTTTTTAATTTGCAGATTACAAATTCATCTCCATTTGAATCTTTAATTTTCTTGAAATACTTCCATACGAAGCTATATGTTATAATTCGTTTTTTTAAAGGTCTGGAGCCACTGCTTGAGCTCGAAGCCAACGAATTGTTGGAATGATTTGACCTTGTATCAATGTTTATTATTTCACATAGATAATTATCACCAACACCAGCACCAACACCACCATTATCATCTTCTTCATAATATTGATACTCCACATATTTATTTTTATTATTTTCCATTATTTTATTTTTAAATTTTTTTGTACCACAAAAAATGTTTTCATTTATAATTGGCCAGATAATAATAATAATTAGTATTAGTCAACTATTAGTTGTTTAAAAAAAAAGTTAGTCGACTATTTTAGTTGATTCCAACCTCTATATTCTACTCTCTAATAATATGCTTATTAACTAATTACTAATTCTAAATAAAAATTAGTAATACATGAAATACATATAGTGCAAGCCATTTAGTCCCACAACTTTTTATTGGTTGTGTAGATTTTCAAATTCTCCAAAAATGGAAATGCAACACCCCAAAATAAATTGTGTATTTGAAGCCAAGACTTTCCTCTACAAAATCACAATTTCATCTCATTGAGATGACCCTTCCTTTTGTTAATTTTATTATTTATTTTATTTAGTTAAAAGGAAAAATTTAAAAAATTAAAAATTCACTAATTGATTTTATTGGTTACATTTGACAAAATATTCTAGCAAACATTTTATTAATTATTCAATAGTTTATACAAGTGTTAAGGACAAGATCTATGAAGCTTGCAAAATATTCTAACAAACATTTATTAATTATTCAATAGTTTATCAAAGTAAGTTTTAAGGACAAGATCTATGAAGCTTACAAAATATTCTAATGAACATTTTATTAATTATTCAATAGTTTGTACAAGTGTTAAGGACAGGATCTATGAAGTTTGCAAAATATTCTAATTAATTATTCAATAGTTTATCAAAGTAAGTTTTAAGGACAAGATCTATGAAGCTTGCAAAATATTCTAACAAAAATTTTATCAATTATTCAATAGTTTGTACAATTGTTAAGGACAAGATCGAAAAAGCTTACAAAATATTCCAACAAACGTTTTATCAATTATTTGATAGTTTGTACAAGTGTTAAGAACAAGACCTATGAAGCTTGCAAAGTATTCTAACAAATGTTTTATTAATTATTCAATAGTTTGTGCAGGAGTAATCAAAGTAAGTTTTAAGGCCAAGCAAGATCTATGAAGCTTGCAAAATATTCTAACAAATGTTTATCAATTATTTAATAGTTTGTGTAGGAGTAATTAAGGTTGCGGGAGAAACTCCTCCAGAAATCAATCGACAGAGTTTTGACAGGTTACACATTAATTGTTTATTAGAG